GCATTATGCAAATATTTTCACATAGTGAGGTAGATTGTGGGGGCGTGTTTAAACGAGGCGTTTTAGGAGGGCGTGGACGAGTCTTAACTTTTATAAAGAATATCTCTTTGGGTTTGAGATTTTAGTCTTTGCAACTTTAGGGATCTTATCTATTCACAAACAGCTTGTAACACTCCAAAGAGAAAGGAAAACTTGAAATCGCATCATATGACCCCTTTAAATCATGGCCCAGGTGTACTGATACATTTGTACTAACTCACTCCCCGGTTTTAATTAAATCAAGGGCTTGTTCTAACGATTTGTTCTCAAGTTTTAGTATAATTGTGGCCATGTTGTACTATTTTGTTTGTACTCATTTGTTCCCTAGTTTTAATTCAAGCGAGGCCACTTCATACTAATTCCCTTTAATGTTTTAGTTAAATCATGTTCATGTTGTACTAATTTGTTCTTTAGTTCACAATATCTTGTTTTTCTCCCCGCATATCATGTGTAGGGCAACATTAAAACATATTTTAAAAAATTAACTAAAAAAACTCTCAAACAAAACAAAACAAAACCAAAACAGTGGTTAAAATAAAATTTCAACAACCGAAATGAAGTTTTTTTTTCTGTTTTACCACAATTATATTTTTAAACCAAGAAATCACTGTTTTGAATAAAAATATTAGCAAACATTACAATTAAAGTCATTACTGATGGGGTCAAGGAACTATAGTAAAGATAACGCAATTAATTAGCCATATTAATGTGCATGGTTATGATCGCAAAATAAACAGGCTTATAAACTTTTATGAGAAAACACAACATATCTTTTAGGTTGCTGATGTCAAATGCTCGTTCAAACAAATCACACTGTAAAATCTAGGTTGCATGAAATGCATTCATCTATCCAAGGTTTTTATTTTAATATATTTTAATGTTTGAATTTAAGGCAATTTTTGGGTCATCACTTGTTGTCCAATGTAAAATCTGGGTCCTAAAGAAAAACCAGATGAGAACCACTTATTCACAAGTGGATGAGTCAGACTGGTTTGTCTGTTCACATCTGGAACATTAATATCGTTTTATGAAACATTATGATTTATTTTTTTTACTTTAGAAATATGTGCACAGTAAAACCAGGAATGTATCAAATATATAAAGCATATAAAGTCCATTTTTATGTCTTTAAACTAAGATAAGCAAAGCTTTGAAGAGTACAGAGGAGTTGCTAATGTTTCACCACAGTAACATCATCGACAGCTTTTCTTCAGGGTTTTTACTACAAAGCACTTTCTCCACATATGCAGCTTTACACAGTAACTAACATTTTTTTTAATCTTCAGATTTATTGAGTTTTGCACCGCAAACTAATTATTTTCTTGAACAGACAGCAGACACCTTGGGTAATGGCATCCCTTATTAGAAGTAGAGTTCTCCAGGCCTGATTGCCAGTCAGCAGCTTTTCTCTGTAATGCTGAATATTTCAGCTGCGAATCGTATAGCGTGGCCCTCTGGAGGCCAGTAATAAGAGCGGCGGTAGCAAAACCAAGAGCACTAGCTCAGCACGTAACTGGCAGAAACTTTCAAAATTACTTTGAAAAATGGTCTGTTATTCTGGAATCAATCACTGGCTACGAAAATGAGCCACCGGGCAGCAGTGATTAGACCCTTCATTAAAGTCGATGTGAAATCAAAAACCACCCTATTCACTTTCTTTGTACTTGGGTTTATTGTGCACGATTTATCAATGCATGTTATTCGAAGTAAAATGGATTACGAAAATCATTTTATGTTGACTTTGACCCTACTGTGAACTTTTCTACATCATCTAAGACATACTTGGTTCATTTTACACTACAGCAGCAATTTAGACCATGAAATATAAGTTTATTCCTTTTAGAAAGAGAAATTTGAGACTAAATGCTTCCTATATCGAGTTAAATGTTGAGATGGCATGAAATTGAGGTTCAGGTGAGGTTAATCTGAAAATATGTTGACATGCTCTTTGATTAACACATTAAATATTTGAAAAGTCTCATTCCCAAACCTCCATGTATGTGGCAGTAAAAGAAATTGAATCATTATGCTAGACCTTGATTCGGCTGATATACGGTAAAATGAAATAAAACCTGCTCATGCCTGCCAAAAATCTTGATTTGGAGTCAGCCAAGGCCATCTTGGTAATAAACAGGTGGGGGGTGGGGGGGTGTAAATGTTCAAAAAGAATAGAGCTTGTTTGCTTAAAACTCTTTCTGTGCATCAAATCAATAGTGAATAAATATTGGCGTTGGATTTTACATTTGGCTTCAGCCTTCACCTCAGGCCGTTTTGAAAGATGCTCTAATTGGAATTCAAACCCACAGCAGAAATGTTTATTACATTTCCACATGGCATTTGTGTCTTTTCCCAAGGCTAGCTCAACAGTGAACACAACCAGTTCTGTATATTTGACATGCATTTATAGCCCATCCTTTCCTGTGGCAGGGTTGACCTTGTAATCATATGTAAATATGTACTGATGACATCTCTGAACGAATAACATTGATTAACTATAGTTTAAATGGAATACATTAACGCATTTTAGGAAATGTTCAAAGAGAAGCGAATGGTTATGAAAATAAATACATACTAGAAACTACATTTCGTGTCATTATCACTATTAAAATTGTATGTTTGTATCATAACAATGTCTCAACTTAATTTTGTTGTCGTTTTATTTTTGTGCATAAACCGTCACCTGAGAGCTAGGCAATAAAGTACAAACTTTGAGCTTAATTAAAATGGGACCAAAAGCACAATGGAGTCCTCCTCCACTCCTCAACATCTCCCAGTCTTGCTTACACCAGACCTGTGTGTGAACGTTGCAATTAATGAATCCATAAATTACACCGACGCATGAGGATATATGGATATCAACAGCAGAGAAAAGCCTCACCTCCTGACAGCATCTCGTTTCTGCTCATCGATGTTGTCCCACCATTTGGAAAAATACGAGATCTCAGACCAGATCATTTTTCGCCGACTGTCTTCATGTAATTTCACCACCATGTTGTTGAGAATGTGTTGCGTCTGGTCTCTATAGTAGTCATCGAATGTCTTCAGCCAGCCTGAGCAGAACAACACACAAACTTGTTAAACTTTGACTTGACATTTAAAATGGTTTCAAAAATTATTTACTCTCATGTTATTCCAAACCATTCTTTCTTCTGTGGAACACCAAAGGAGATGTTTAACAGAATGTTCAAGCTGTTAAATGGGGATCGGGAATAGCGGTAGTCGCCATTTACTTTCAATGTATGGAAAAGAGCAGCTTGGACATTCTGCTAAATATCTCATTTTGTGCTCAATGCAAGAAGGTAGTAGTAAATCACACCTTTAAAGGGGTGTGAAACAAAAAAGCATTATGGTATCAGCATGTTATACTAATGCAATCAAAATTATTCAACCCCCAGAGTCTATAACAATTTACAAATATAAGCTTTTTTTGAAGATTTGATATAGCATCGACAACAGTTTAGTGGCATATTGCAAGTGACATTGTCAATATATAAATATAACATTTTTGAGTTTTTAAGGTTAGGTACAAAATTGTGTTAAAACACAATTAAGCCTTTCGGAAATTCTACAACAAATCTTAACTTGTTTAAGCTGTTACAAATACAAACGTTCAGCCCATGCATGTGCTAAAATTGAGTAGCAAATACGGTCAAGTCAGAAGAGATCTCACAAAAGTTATAGAGAATTTTTGACAATGTTTGACCATGCAGTTTGACCAGTCTTGTTTTCTTGTCAGTCTTGTCGTTTTGTTGCTTCAGGAAGTGGAAATCTTGACTGTATAAAGGGCATTATGGATTCTTTGAAGTATCAGGCCATTTTGGCAAAGCTTGTATTGCCTTTGGTGCATAGACTGAAGCTGATGATCATTGGGCTTTCCAGCAGAGCAACCATCCCAAAGTATACATCCAAGCTTGGTTCAGGAATCGGTCATAAAATGTTTTTGAGTGGCCTGTTCAGTTTTCAGATTTAAATCTCATTAAAAACACTGGCCACACCTTATTTTAAAGGGGTCATCGGATGCCCATTTTACACAAGTTGATATGATTCTTTAGGGTCTATAGCATGCTTTGGTTAAAATTTCTCAATGGTAGTTTAAAAAACACCCTTTATACCTTGTCAAAATCAGCTCTGCACAAATCAACCCATTTTGTTGCATGTCCCTTTAATTGCTAATGAGCTCTGCTCACCCCGCACCTCTCTTCTGTGGGGTGACGAGCCGTGCTCTGAGGCTGTGTTTACACTGCAAGTCTTAATGCACAGATCCAATCTTTTGACCATATCCGATTTTTTGGCACGTCTGTTTACATTGACTTTAGACACGACTGGTATCCGATATCTGTGTTTACATTAATTCCCACCCAAAAGGATTGTCTGCAGTGATCACTTTATGCACATGGTAGATTACATTATTAAAATACCTTTCTCTGACGCTTTTTAATAGGTTGCTAGGAGTCCATAACAGTGTTAAACATGTCACTTCTTGTTGTCAGCAGGTGGCGCTATGACTATAACCGAATACGGGCATGTAGATGTGTTCAGGACAGGACTCTTATCAAACTTGTTCAATTTGGGGCAAATTGGACACTGCATGCATGAGTTACAGTAACTTCCCGTTTCACTGCATTAATAGCATGCTTTAGCACTTAGCTAAGTGTTGCTAGCATGTTTTAGTATGTTTCTAGCATGTTGCCAGCCTATTTAACACTTGTTGACACTTTTTAATATGTTCCTAGGAGTCCTTAACAGTGTTAACCATGACACTTCCAGGTGGCGCTATGACTATAACTGAATTTGGGCATGGACATGTGTTCAGGACAGAACACCTATCAAACGTGTGAAGTTTGGGGCAGATCAGACATTGCTTGTTTGAGTTACAGCAACTTCCTGTTTCATGGCGAAACATCAAAATTTGTCAGGCCGCCAGGGACACGGCCCTTGACGAAAACTCAAGATCTTCGCAATTTAACGTCACAAAGGCCTTAAGATAACCCTCACCAAATTTGTAGGATGAGTTCGTCAAAGTACGAGGCTTGGAAATGGCAAAAACTGCACAAAAATCGTACAGGAAATTCAAAATAACTGACTTTCTGCTGGGTTTTGGATTTTATTCCAAGATACTTTTTTGTAGGTAATGGTGTGTTACATGTGTGTACCGATTTTCGTACATGTATGTAAAGCACACCTCGCTTTTTCAGACTGATGAGCTTTGTAAAAATCGACGCATTTCAGAAAGGCGGGGCATCGAGGAGAAACAATAATGTACAGTATGTGGAAAATAATGTGTTTTTTTAACTTTAAACCGCATAAACACATTTCATTACACCAAATACACAAAATAATGTTCTTTTTAGCAACATCATATGACCCCTTTAAAGTATAACCATGTAAATATTAGACCTTTTGTGTGTAAAATTATATCGTATCTTTAACTTCGTTGTCATGGCGAGTTTCTCACAATAAGCACAAGGATACCAGAAAAGGACCTGACGTAACTATGACCCCGTTTACACCTGGTATTAATATCGCTCTCAGGTGATCTGACCAGAAGTGGTTGAACAGGGTGCAAAATGTTTCCTAACACCAAAACCAACTAAGGAGATAGTCAGAAGTGCAGAAGAAAGGAAAGGAAATCAAAAGAAAGGAAAGGAATGGAAATCAAAGGAAAGGAAAGGAATGGAAAGGAAAGGAAAGGAAGGGAAAGGAAAGGAAAGGACAGGAAAGGAAAGGAAAGGAAATCAAAGGAATAGAATGGAAAGGAAAGGAAAGGAAAGGAAAGGAAAGGACATGTGGAATGTTATGCAAAATCAACACACAGTAAGAGTTTATTGGTGATCATGAGTGATGTACATAGTCATGAAACCAGAGACCCTTCACTCAAAATCTCATCCAAGTGGTCAAAAGAGATTTAAGAGCTGAGAGACTACCAGGTGTAAATATGTGTCTCGCCTAGCTAGTTGTGATCAGATCACAGACATATCTTAATTCAGAGTGCAAATCAAAGACAAAGCTTAAATAGCAATAGAATGTACTCCCTTGTAATTAAAAAGATGTTAATCATAGACTAAAAGAAATATAGATGTAAAAACAAGATCCTACAATTAAAAGTAAGATAAAATCAGTAATACATGTACTAATAAACCAAATTTTCTTGAGTTTTAAAGACTGATTGAGAAAGAACTTCCTTCCAAATGTAGGCTAAATCAGTTTTACACAGAACAAATTCCTCCCATAGGATTTTTCAAACAACAGACATTCATCGGCCTGGAAAACTATTCCTACCTCAAAAAAGTTTATTTAGTCAGACTCAAACATAGACCATTTTTTAGTCTATTTAAACTATAGCTGAAACTATAAAAAGGTTGTAATGAATAATTTATGTAAGTGCATTAACATAAATTCAAGAGTTCCATTTCTGTTTTAAAACCATTCGAAATACTGCCTCGCTTTATTTGCATGACTCTAACAGAAACTGAATACACTAATAATAATCAACATGTGTGTCTGAAAGCATCTCACATCCTGAGTACCACTAGGGCTGGGAAAAATGGCCAAAAATGTTATCACGTTTTTTTCTATATCATTTGATAAAAATATTCATCATGCTATTGATTTCATACCAATAATGGGAAAGGAAATGCATTCCACACTTGTTAGACCTCGATAATAAAAGTATATATATGTTGTTGGGTTGGGTTCTGTGTTTTATGATTTAATATACAGTATATATTCATCATCAAACTGGTGCCTAATGAAATTAATTCATAAAGCTTAAACAGTTTAAATCAAATCAAATTATAATTACATTTACAACAAAACATTTTGTTTTGTCAAATAAGGTGTTACACAACAAAACTTGCATACTGTACAAACTTTTATATTGGCGGTTTGTAGTTATGAACTGTGAGTTTGTGTTGTATTTAACAATTTAATGATAGCTTTACTTCACATATCTAGATGTAGGCTAAATAGAGCGAATTACTCAAATGTTTATTAACAATGTTGTGGATTTATTTTTGTCAATAGATATTGTTATAGATTTATGACCCAGCTCTAAGTACCACCCAAACACTGTTGCAGTGGTGAGATTTAGGTGAATATTCATTGAGAAATTATATTTCATTGTTGCCTCAAACCGTGTTTTTACTAGTTGACTAATTTGTGCACGGGTACTTCACTAGTTAATTACTCGCGTACATCCCTGGATTTAATCTAGGTCTGCAAGTGATAAAATTTTAGCCATTAATCACAAATGCTTGTAATATTCATCATGTACATACATCAAACAAACACTTGTCTGCTTACCTGATAAACGGTGATTCTCATTGACTACAAACACAAGACAATGGCCAACAAACATTAGCACTCACCAGGGTCATTATGTGAATGGGGCACAACAAAGACTTGGAGTGGCTCATTGTCCCATTCATTGTCCTGATAAGAGATATCAAAGCCTTGTTTCCATACTCCACCATCAGGGTTATCAAAGCTGAGTAAATCATAAACATCCAGCATCTGGAAGAAATGAGGAAAGAACATAATTTTACTGGACTATAACAGACATACTTCCATTCAATTCCTATTTTGTTGACTAAGTGCAGAAGTCAGTTCATAATACTACTACATGTGTACATCAATATCTATTGGTTATGAAAGTGAAAATCATTTTGTGGAGTTGCTTAAAGGCTGGGCAGGAGGAAGTCTTGATGGAAATTCACTGACAATTAGTTTAATGATAACAAGAGCATCCTCATGGATTCTCTGTGATAAAACTCATTCAAGCATCATTTAAATCAAAAGAGGACAAAACATGTATTTGTTTGTATTGGCTAAATTTATTTAAATCCAGCTGGCACTCCTAAAACATGTGGTTCTAGCTCATTTCAGCTGTCGGTTTTCTGAAACAAACAAACAAAAAATTATATTCTCTTAAGCATTTCCTGCATGTAAACTCGAAGATGTTTATTTGGACAGGAATTAAATTGAATTATTGACAAACAACACAACCCTGGTGTTTGTCAAAAAACAGGAGGTAATTCAGCAGGGATTTGTTTCTCAAGTGACGGGTGGAAAAACACCAATATTCCTAGGTTGGATAGCAATACAAATCATAGACTTGCACCTGTAAATGCTGATATTACATCACGTCCCCATGTGAAACAAATAAAGGCGGAAAAGAGCTGAGGAAAAAGGCAAGCCATAGACAAACTCACATGCAAATATATGCAAAAAATTAGTCTGCTAGTGTGACACAATTCAGGCATTGAAATATTTCTCAACCTCCACAGAATGGGTCTCCAGAAAACAAGTCTCCCTGGCATTGATCTATCCATGTTTACAGTAACATTGTTCAGGAAAAAAACTTTTAAAAAAGTATATTGTGCATTATAAAATAGCAAAACATAGTTTCAAGGTGACTATATGAATTATTTTTCTCTTACTTTCTCTGTCATGCCAACCAAATGCTTATGGAATGTCTTCCTGATTCATAACATACAAAATACATGCAACAGCTGTTAACATCCTGATAACATATCTTAACCCTTCAGTTAAAGTCTGCCTTTATCATATAGCTGACCAGTATGCTAGTGTGGTTTACTTGTGTACGTCTTACAAAAATATAATGATATTGAGGTTTTAGTTTGGAGGAAGAATGGATATCAACTCCCTTTTCCACCATGAATTAATTGCCATCTGAATGCATGTGTTCCCCTTTCAGGAACTCGAGCTGTGTCGAGAATCGCTTTGGGAACGCCCTGCGTGACCGCGTTCTGAAGCACGTGTAAAATCAGCCCAATGGAGCAGCGAGACGTCACGAGCGGGGTGACGTGAGCACCAGGAAGTATAAAAGCGCATCCGGCAGAGCGCAAGTTAGCTTCTGCTCTTCAGTAGCGTTCTGTGTATCTGTCAGTCCTATTTATTGTTGTCTGTCAGTCACAAGCATTCATATCATGTCAAAAAAAGCAAAGTCTAAATCTATGGCGAGCGAACGGCATTACAAACGTTCTGTTCCTCCCTGCCCACGTTATCTGGCGGCGGGGAATACACACGATCTGTGTGTTGTTTGTTTAGGAGCGGAGCATGCACGGTCAGCTCACGAGGAAGCTGATTGTCATGACTGTGAGTTGCTCTCGCTGCGCGTGCTCTGCTCTCGCCTGGCCGTGTTTGATGAGAGCGGCCAGGCTCGCGATCCCGCTGCCAGCGGTCCCGCTGTTGCCGAGGCACAGGAGAGCCAGACGCTTCATCTATCTTCCTCCGAGGAGGTGGATGTGATGAGTGTCGAGACAGAGGAGACTGTGGACTCGCCACCACAGTCCCTCGCGTATGAGGTGTGATTCGTGATTATGGGGTGTGTTTCGTGCATTCGCCAAAATAAAATATCGTTTGGCCAGCCTAGAAACAGGACGCTCGTCCTAAAAATAATTAGACGAGCATGTTCTGAATCCAGATCACAGCCTTCACGACGGGGGCCTTCCGTTTTCCCCGATCTCCATGCTGAGGTGTCAAGATCGTGGGAGAAACCGTACTCATCCCGTATTACAGCCCCACAGTCTCGAATTATTCAAAAGAACATCGTGGGGCTGAATGATAAGGGATATGGGGCGATGCCAGTGGTGGAGCAGACGCTTGCGAGCTATCTCTCCCCATCCTCAGCATCGTCCCTGAAGGCCCCGAAGCTTCCCACCAGGCCCGTTAGGCTTACATCGAGTCTGGTTGGGAAAGCTTATACGGCAGCAGGTCAGGCTGGCGCATGTTTGCACACCATGGCGGTGTTACAAGCATACCAGGCTGACCTGCTCAGGGGTGGGGCTGCTGAGCGGCAGCAGCCCAAGCCATCAAGCTCCTCATATCGCCAGTCTCAAAAACAGAGCGTTGCAACCCGCACCCCTCCACAGAAAGATCGGGGGTCGGGGCGATGCTCTCAGTTGGGGTCTTCTAGACCGAAAACGGATCTGCGGACCGTTATTTGTCTAAGAGGACCTCGGCGAAATGGTCCTACCATTGTCAGGTCCCTGAGGGCAGCCCACCTGGGGAGGAAAGGATAACACCTCAGTATACGGTGCCCAATCCTCCTCAGTGCCCTCACGGAGGCTTATTGATACCCCTGCCACCCTCGGTGCTTCAGGGCTCAGTGAGCTCCGACGAGCGAAATTCCCAGCTGCCGCCCGGCAACGGTACGGCACGGGAGAGCTCGCCCCCTCAAGTGAGGGTGCTACAGCAGTCGGGTCGGTTGTTCCCTCAGTGCCCTCATGGAGGTTCATTGATACCCCTGCCACCTCGGTGCTTCAGGGCTCAGTGAGCTCCGACGAGCGAAATTCCCAGCTGCCGCCCGGCAACGGTACGGCACGGGAGAGCTCGCCCCCTCAAGTGAGGGTTCTACAGCAGTCAGGTCGGTCGTTCCCTGCCGGTCATCCGCTTCAGGGCACCGAACTGGCTCCTCTAATAATACCAGAGGCCAGCCTCGAGAGGCTGGTTCCCTTAGTAGATTTTTTGGCAGCGTGGAAACTTCTACCAAATGTCTCAAAATGGGTCCTGCAGATTGTAGAGAAAGGTTACAGAATCGTCCGCCTCGTTTCAACGGGGTCATTCCCACACTAGTGAGCCCCGAGCAGGCTCTGGTAATGGAACTAGAAGTAGATACTCTCTTGAGGAAGGGGGCCATAGAACGTGTTCTGCCTCTCGAGAGAGCGTCCGGGTTCTACAGCCGGTACTTCATCGTTCCGAAGAAGGACGGGGGGTTGCGTCCGATCAGAAGGATGGGGGGTTGCGTCCGATTTTAGATCTCCGTCTTCTGAACCGCGCTATCAAACGGCTTCGGTTCAAGATGCTCACTATCAAGCAGATAGTATCTCAAATCCAGTCTGAGGACTGGTTTGTTACGATAGATCTCGGAGACGCTTATTTCCATGTTTCCATCCTTCCTCAACACTGGAAGTTCCTGAGGTTTACTTTCGGGGGCGAAGCATAGCAATATCGAGTTCTTCCCTTTGGCCTGTCACTCTCACCCCGCACTTTCACAAAGTGTGTGGATGCTGCTCTGGCTCCTCTGCGACTCCAGGGCATCCGCATACTCAATTACATCGACGATTGGTTAATACAAGCTCAATCGGAGCAGATGGCGGCTTGGCATCGAGATGTCGTCCTCACCCATCTGAGAGAGCTGGGGTTAAGACTAAACACCAAGAAAAGTGTGCTTTCTCCACTACAGAGAACCACTTATTTAGGCGTGGTGTGGGATTCAACCACGATGCAGGCATGTTTGTCTCCTGCTCATATCGAGTCAATCCTCACAACAGTCAAGAGAGTAAGAGAAGGCCAGTCACTCACTGTCAAACAGTTTCAAAGGCTGTTGGGTCTGATGGCAGCGGCGTTCAACGTGATACCTTTTGGCCTGCTGTACATGAGACCCTTGCAGTGGTGGCTCAGGACCAAGGGATTCTCCCCGAAGGGGGAATCCGCTTCGAATGATCAAGGTCACGCAGCGATGCTTGCGTGCCTTGGACATGTGGAAGAAACGTTGGTTCCAGGTTCAAGGCCCGATGTTAGGGGCTCCTTGTCGTCACGTAACGCTAACGACGGATGCCTCTCTCACGGGCTGGGGAGCGGTCATGAGTGGCCGCTCTGCCCAGGGTCTGTGGGAAGACCATCATCTCACTTGGCACATCAACTGCCTGGAGATGCTGGCCGTGTTTCAAGCTCTGACACACTTCCTTCCAGACCTAAGGGGGCATAAGGCTAAGAACAGATGCCTCTCTCAGGGCCTGGGGGGCGGTCATGAGTGGCCGCTCTGCCCAGGGTCTGTGGGAAGACCGTGTTTCGAGCTCTGACACACTTCCTTCCAGACCCAAGGGGGCATCATGTGCTTGTCCGCACAGACAACACATCGGTGGTCTCCTACATCAATTGGCAGGGGGGTCTGCGTTCGCGCCCCTTGTACAAGCTGACGCGCCAGATCCTTCTGTGGGCTCAGGGGAAGCTCCTCTCACTAAGAGCCGTCTACATCCCTGGGTATCTCAATCGGGGCCAGATATAATAGGTATTCTCGTTCCCAAAGCGATTCTCGACGCAGCTCGAGTTCCTGAAGGGGAACGTCTCTAGGTTACGTATGTAACCATGGCTCCCCGAGAGAACGAGACGCTGCGTCTCTTTGCCATACTCCCTGCATCCCTGCAGGCGCTACTTCATCAAAGCTAACTTGCGCTCTGCCGGATGCGCTTTTATACTTCCTGGTGCTCACGTCACCCCGCTCGTGACGTCTCGCTGCTCCATTGGGCTGATTTTACACATGCTTCAGAACGCGGTCACGCAGGCCGTTCCCAAAGCGATTCTCGACGCAGCTCGAGTTCCCTCTGGGAACCATGGTTACATACGTAACCTAGAGACGTTCTATCACATAGGGCTGTTCGATTATGACAAAAATCATAATCACGATTATTTTGGTCAAAATTGCAATCACGATTATTATTAATCGTGTTAGATTATTAGTGGGCCATATGACCAAAAGTTTATATGAATGATTTATTTAAAGATAGTGATATATATCAAATATATATTTTCTGTAAAGAAGGTTGCTATGACATCTACATTTTAGAGACCAGAGAAATGTCACAATTCTCAATACCACAGCAGAATACTAGGGTAAATAATATTAGTAAAACATAAAAAAGTCTTTAAAATTATTGAAAATAATTAAACTGTCAGTTATTAAAAAGCAAAGGACAAATACAATAGAATAAAAAAATACTAATGAAGTGCTTTAAGGTTGTTTTTTTAATGCAAGTCTACAGTATTCAGTTAAAGTGCCTCTATTATGCCATTTTTAAGGTTCCTAATATTGTTTTGGGAGTCTCCTAATAGGATTACATGCATGCAAGGTCAAAAAACGCTTTTGTTTTCTCAAAATATGCATTTAACCCTTTGAGCGGTACGGTCCCACATATGGGATTTTTATTTCCGTGCCCCTGGGAGTACGGTCCCACATATGGGATTTAGAACATTCGGTGACGTCACATAACTGCCAAATTCAAACTGTGCTTTCGCGCTTTAGCTGACGCTAAGTCAGAGAGAGAAGTGCACTGCGCTTGTCATATTATCACAACTATGCAGTGTTTTTTACCGCATAATGTTTATTTTAGGTTTCAGACATTTAAATACACATAAGTACTAGTAAATCAATACATTTAAAGTTTGTAAAATACACACACGTCTATGGAAGCAACAATAACAGTCCATTCAAATTTAATTTGCCGATGTGTTTTATTCATATCAGATACACATAGTGTAAGTAACTATAAAGTTCACTCTATTCTTCACCCAGTTCACCGGCCACTTATTACTTGTATTTCGGGAGAAATTGATGAATTCACGTGCTGTAAATCCGACTGACAGGACTCTCTGAACTGCAGCGCGAACAAATATGGCGGCACCCATCACACATTACAGATCACGATCA